TGGTAAGGTGGGTAGAACCGCCAAACCTAAGGAGAAAAAGACTCAGTAGCAGGCTTTTGTGACACCCCAGTGACAAGAGATAGGGGAGCACCGTGAAATAACCTCGATGTCTGTATCTGACCCTAAGAAATGAGGGTGGGGAGGTGAGTGCTACTGCCTGCTGGTGCAGATGACTTTCTGAAAGTGAGTCCTGGGACAGCCCTGCCACATTGTTGCAGAAATAAATTCTAGCCTTTTACCCAGGCAGAGGAAGAACAAGCCAGTACTTTAGGAATGGTGAGGTCAGGAAAGCTTTATTGCTCTTGCATGAGGTCTCAGACCTGGGTAGTCCCATAAGGTCTGAGCACTGGTCTCGAGACAGAGTTTCTTTTATACACAACCACTTTACATTGATAAAGTTGGTTAGTTCGCATACAAATTCTTGACAGAGGAAAAGGGGAAGGATACAGATCTTCCAGGATGGCCTGGGAGATCAATCAGCCTAGCAGGCTGCCAGACCTTCTTTAGATATGCTTATTAAGGAAGCAAACTTGTTATTTACTTTACATTTCCAGGTCTATGACTGTTTAACAGGGAAAGATTTCTTTTTCTTAGCAGTTCCCTTTCAACATGATCACACTCTAATGGCACCAGGCCCTTCTCCCAATCTCCTCCTGTTACTGTGGACCAGAGCACACAGAAGGCCCCACCTCTGTGGCATATGGTTACTGACTAACTTTGCTCACTAACTTGTTTCTACATGAAACCAGGAATTTTGCAGGATTCTAGGGAAATAAAAGGCAGGGCATGCCCTAAAGGTCCCTGTATGGAAGTGAGGAGCTGAAGCAACACTGCACATAGGCCTCCACATGCTGGACCCTTCCCTCATCCTCTCCTTGAACACTCTGAGTAGCTCCTCTGAGTATGAATTATCACCTAGGCTACAGAGTAGGAGTTTGAGGCTCAAGTAAGTATCAACTAGCTGAAGGTCACAAGACCTAGTGAGGATCACGACCCTGTTTTAGATCCGGGCATTCCATCTCCGAAGCTAGCACTCTTCCCACCCATCACAGAGTTTTGATGGCACAGCCTTTTTGAGATGTATGTGTGTCCAGTAACACGCATACAGTATGTTTGTCCAGTATTGTAACAGGGTGGTCCCCAGGAAAGGGGGAGGTTCCCCGCCCCACCCTCCCCCTTTCCTGGGGACCACCCTGTTACAGTATGTTCTGTGTGACAGACACACAGTGGGGCAGCAGAGAAATCTTGGTAGAAGCAGCTGGAGCGTGAAGAGGTCCTAAGAAGTAGAGTGAGAGAAAAGCTGGCACATCAGTGAAGTTGGATAGAGAGAGGGTGTGTGTGTCCAAGGTCTTCAGCTTAGCTGATTATGTGGACTGTGGCAGAAGAGGCAAACCCAAGTTCATGTGCCAGCCTGTAGCCAGTGCCTCTGGATAGCTGCCTTTTTTCTAAAGGCTTTCCTCTCTGAGGATGTGGGTTTGTGAGGATGAGGGGATGTGGGAGGCCCACACACTCACACTCCATATCAACGCAAGAAAGAAAATAATAAAAGATTCCTAAAAGTATAAAAAGTTGGGAACCACTGGTCTGTAGATCCCAAGAACAGAAGCTAACATCGCTCTACAGGACAAAAGTTACAGTGGAATGTTGAAAGGTGGGGAGACCAACTAGCCCATGAGATGTCAGATTCCCATATCTAATCATTTTCTCCATCTAAGGCAGTTCAACTGGGAACAGGATTATGCATGGTGGCAGTGGTGGGAGGGGAGGTATAAGTTAAGTCACACCCTGTCACTGTTAGGGGGAAAAGGATGTCCCAAAGCTAATTCCATATAGGCTTTGTGGACTCCACCCCCACCCCAGGTCAAAGTCAAAGACACTGGGAACTCCAAATCCCATCACCACCAAAGGGAAGGTGGCTGGGACCTGAGGGTGGGGTTAAGCAGCCAGGTGGATACAAAAGGCAGACACGTGGGCTTTGGGGGATCCCCCATTTTGGCTCTCCGCCAGCTCGCAGCGTCCGGCCAGCTCTGAGAGTGACTTTGGGTTTCCAGGTCTTCGGATCGGGTAGGACGCATTAAAGACTTTATTTCCCTATTTTTTCCCTGAGTTGTACATTTTCCTTATTTCCTTTTCTCTTGTAAATAAACCTTTTATTAACCTTTTGTGTGTGTGTGTAGTAGAGTATTCATAAGTCCCTTTAAAATGCGCGGGTGAGGACCCACAGCCAGGAACCCGTTTAATATCGGGGTTGCTCTATAACATCACTATAGTCCTTTGTTTAAATTTCCAAGCTCACAGGAAGATCTAAGAGTAGAAATTTCCCAACTACAAGAGGACTATTACACAAAAAAAGGGCCTGGTTAGAGAATCTGGATGGGCTGAGTTCTTGGACACAAGCAAGAGAAAACATTTGGTCTGTGAGACAAGAAGCCAGGGTGATGATACCAAATTGGCCAGCCACAAGTGGTTCTGAGTTCTCGATGGAAGTTACATGGGGAGGGTTTATAGAAAAAAGAAGAGCAAAAGAAATATGGAGCCAGGTGCCTAGATTCTGGGAATGAAACTGGGATTAGATTATGTAGAAATGGAAGAAATAGGAAGCTCTGGATAAGCAAGGAAAATACTGTATCCTCTCTACCTCTATCACACCCTAAATAAGGCTGGAGAGACAAGAAAAAGGAGGTGAAAAATTATTCCAGAAATTGCCCTCCCACATACCATGCCCAAAGTACCCTGAAACTTTTTACAATTGGAATGAATTCATGATCTGAACAGAAAACAGATCTTGGCTTGAAACCACCAGTACAAATAAAAACAAAGTTTTAAATCAAAGTTGTGTCTATTTTCCCCTCTATCTTCCCCCCAACATCCACACTCCCCAAGAAAACTCAGAGATCATGAAGATTAAAAAAAAAAGTGAGAAAAGACTGACACAGTAATCACTGAACAATAACCTAACTATATAAGTGAAATACAACTTTTGGGTAGCTACTTATGATTCCTTTTGGACGAAAGTATATAATTCAGTTCACACACACACACACACACACACACACACACACACATGCACACACGGCTAAATCTCTCACTGGTCTTGGCTAAGTGGTCGACACTCAATTCCTGCTGTGCTCTGGCACCCTGGTTCCCTTGTGAGAAGGTGCTCCCATCGGAGGGCCAATGGTTATCTTAAAAGGACTTTTGTAGAGGGTCAGGCAGAGGGCAGGACTAGTACTCGCAGTAGAAGTGATAGAGGAGAAGAGTTCTGGCACACTCTAAGGACGAAATGTCTTACAAGAAAGGGTGTGTGACAGGGCACTGAGTTCCCTTTCCTAGTGGTTTGCAGTGAATCTAGAAGGCCTTGGCAGGTCAGCTGCTACGGAAGCAACACAGCAGAGGGCAGGTGATCACTGCGTCTGCCACTCCACTCTTAGGCAAGTCCTTCCAGCTCTGGCTTTCTGTAGCTTCCCCTCACATAACAAACTGGGGAAATAATCTCTGCTCCCTCTTCCTCACAACAAAGTGATAAGGAAAAACTGACACAATACAAGTCTGGGCACTTTAGGAAAAAAACTATCATCTTAAAGAGCAGAAGAGGAAGATATGGCATAGCAAGGAAAGGCCTAGGACTCACTCCAAGAGTTGGAGCTTCATCTCCTAAGCAGACTTCCAGTCAGCCCTTAAGACTTCACTCTCCCACACTGTTCTTCAAGAGGCATGCTAGCCAAGCTCACTGGATAGCCCTGGAGCCAAGGGTGCAAAGTGGCAAAATCTCTCAATCTCAGTACTCCTTGGATGATGCATCTTTCCCACAACTTGGTGATTCCAGGTATTGCTTAACAGCAAAGAATGAGACAAATTCAGGACAGGCTTTTAATTAAGGACTTCCAAGGCTTTAGGCGGCAACTAATTCAGGAAAAGAATAGAACTCCTAATTCAGAGCTTCTCTCTATGTAACAATTATATATGCATTTCAAGCAGTGTCAATTTTAGTGTTTATATGTGCATGCACTAAATACTTAAAAAAAAAAAAAAAACTATCATTTCAGTGCCTCCCTGGCGGTGCAAGGGGTTAAGGCACAATCTATGAAGCTGTCCGCAGCCACTGCAGCATGAGTTCGATCCCCAGCCAGCCAGGGAGCTACCCACATGGTGAAGCAGACCTTTCCTGACTCGCCTGCTGCTCCCCTGAGCAGTGTATTTCAGTCAATCCTCCTGCTCTGTTCCCCACTCTGTCTCTGGTGAATCCTCTCTCACACCCCCTCCCTCACCCCCACCCCACTGGTCTGTACCCCAGTTCTTGTATGTATAAATGAATAAATATTTTTAAAAAACCCTATCATTTCATTTCTTTCTTGTATTAACCTGCCAGAGACTTAGAAAATCAGTTATCCCCATGTTACAGGTGAAGAGACATATCTTGGGTTGCACACTAAGAAAGTCAAAACTAGGACACAAATCCGGATTCCCAAACCTGTGCACTGTTCTTCTACTCTTTGAGATGTCATGGCCTAAGATCCCTTACATGTTAAGGACAGGGAGAGAAATTCAGGAGATTATCTCCTATCCCACTCCCAAGGCTATTCGGATAGCTCCTTGAAACACAGCAGCTTGCCTCTGTCTGGGTAATCCATTGCTGAGTCTTATTTAGCCCAAACTGACTATGAACCCTATTATCTCAGTATTGAAAAAGCCCTTATAAGTAATTTAATCCAATCTCCTTTCATAGGCTCCTCCCATATCATCTTCTTCATAGCCTAATGTCCCAGTTGCCATTGCTCACAATCCATTACAAGGTATTCCTCCTGCCTGGGTGAGGAGAGGTTGGGAACAAGTCTGCACCAGGACAGAGGGAAGGGAAAGTGAAGTTTCCTGAAATACCCCTTAATGCAAGGGTTCTCATCAGAGTACTCTGCCAGTCTGGATCCCTAGACTTGTCCCACTCAATACTTTCTGCACATGAGCAGCAAGACACCAATTGGGAAATGAGACAAGAACCTTACCTTTTTTCTCTTCTCTCAGTTGCTCCCCTGGTGGTCATCAAACCCCCATCCAGCACTCTATTTCCAAAACTGAAAATCCCAGAAACACCAAGTGGAGCTTCTCTCCTCTCATCCAGGTCCAAAGTCCATGGCTGAGTGGACTCTGAGGGGGAGGAGTCTGGGGGGAAGGGGGATGTCCAGTCCCCTCCCCCCCACTGCAGTTTCAACGTCCCTCCCAGGGGTTTGTTACATCCCTTCATTCAGCTGGCTTATTAAGCCCAGAGTCTGGTGACCGGCAGATCCCAGGTACTATCCCATCTCTTGCTCAGGGAGGGGAAGTCATCCACTTTGAGGGCTGGCCACTCTGTCTTCTGCTGGGGCTCATGAGAAGAAACAGGCCTTAGTACTGGCATGGCCCAGGAGGCTGATTTCTTTGTTAACCTGCAGAATATTTGAACATTATGACACTTTCTAACCTATTACACACCCAAATGGATTAATTCCTAAGATTCCCTATCTAAATTGGATTCATTCACAATACTTTCTTCAAAACCCCTTCCTTAAACACTTCATAACACTTCACTCAATACTACATCCCAAAACCTTACACCTTATTGATATGTATACACACATATTGCTCAGGATAAAGGAAGAATCACATCTGTTCTCACTACTGAAAAGTAACCAATGACTGTGTATGAAGAAGTGTCTTCTAAAAAATACGGAAAATAACATCCTACTGCCCTCTTGTTAGTGTCACAAGCTAATCGTCCTGTATCTCCCAAGCTTCTTAGGGTAGGCAATGCTTTCTAATCAGCCAGGTCTACTCCCAACCAAACAATCTATTCCAGACTTAGTGGTGGCACCTTCCACATGCATTCTTTGCTCTTTCCCTTCACCCTGACCTTCCCCTCTGCTTCTAAAACTGTGCCAGGGATATAATTCCCAATCTCTGCCAAACTGTGCCAGGGATATAATTCCCAATCCTTCCCAGGGCCACTCCGCAAAGCACTCTACTGGAATGTCACAGGCCCGAATCCTGCCAGCAATAGCCCCACAGAGTTCCAATTTCTCAATTGGGAGCCCACCCCTATCTCCCTTATAAATTTGCACACACACGCACACGCACACACACCCTTCCCTTCCTGTAGGGGCGTGGCGTTCATATGACCCCCCCCTCCTTCCCCCGCCAAGAATTTAACTCCTCCCACCCTTCTGCTAGGAACCCAGAGATCGGGTTCGCCTGGTAAGGGGATGACACCAGGACCCTCCCTCGACTCTAACCCCCACCCCTCTATCGCCCGGACGACCCTCACCCTATCTGTGCTGGGTTATTACCTGGTTCCCGCCCGCCCTGTCTTGGCAGAGAGCCGCGGCCCGCCCCCGGTACGAGTCTAGGCCCCAGGCCGGGTCCCCACTGCCGGCCCAGGCCCCACCCCCTCGACCCCCAACGGTCCTGCCCTCCCCCTGGAGCTCCTTTCCCCCTCCCACTAGCCACTGGAGCCACTTCCGGCCGCCCTCCGGAAGTGCGCCCAGGCAACCGCCACCCCCCAGCCCGCCTGAATCTGCTCCACGGCCCTCCACCCGTCGCCACCTGGGAGAGCGGCTGTGGGCTGCAAGACTTGAGGTTCTTCCACAGTCCCTGTCCAGGCGGCTGGAGCTGCCGTGTGGGCAAACTGGACGTGGGTGAGAACCGAGCAGGGAGCGAAAGCAACTGCAGTACAAGAAGGGGCGGGGCAAAGCACGACCGCGAGCGGGAGCGCGCCTCACTTCAAACCGCTGGGGAAAGAAGGGCGCGTGCGTCGCGACGCCTTCCCGTCGTTGGTGTTGACGCTGGACTCCCTGACTGGGCGGGACTTAGGCCGGAAGTGAGCGGGGCGAGAGCGCCGAAGAGCCGGCGGAGTCTACGCTGAGCAGCCCGCCCCTTCCATCTGTCCAAAGGTCGCCTAGCAACCGTCCGGCGGCCGGAGACCTGGATCTGAAAAAGATCCTGGCAGCTCTCCTCCGGATCCAGTTTCCTGGCGCGAACACATTCAGAAAACACCAGCGCCTGTGTTCTCCATTGCTGTACTGAGAGCTCTGTAGTAGTAGTACCAGATGAAAGTTGTTTTATTTGGTTTAATGCTTTTTCTTGCTTTTACAGGAACTTCCTGGATGTGAAAAAAGAAGGGAAGGGGTGACAGTGCACATAAAATGAATGCCTTCCCACTAGGACAGCCCTTTGGCATCGATGTACTTTGGGAATTACAAGTATCAACATCCACAGGTCAGGACCATAGTTAAAAGGTTACTGAGCAGCAGAGAGGTTTACAGGCGATTGTCTGACCTATCTTCTGTGGCATTATGATTTATAAGAAGAAATATTTCTTATTAGGCACAGAGCTCCTAAAGCCCTTGGGATTTCCTAAATAATTTGTTTTAGTATTTGGTTTTTGACCACCATTCCTAACAGAGCTCCTGAAAAACCTGTTATTTCCTGGGTGATAGGAATGTCTTTTTTGTAATTCAGTGACTCTGGGTAGGCGCCTGAATGACTCCTAAATGACCACTTGTTGCTGGAAAGACCAAGTCATACTTAGAAGCTTGGAATTTTCAGTCCCATTACCCATTCTTTTGAGAAAATGGCTAAAAATGAGATTGATGATTAAGCATTCTTATGTATTGAAGAATCATTCATAAAAACCCTAAGAGTATGAGTTTCAGAGACTTTTCAGGTCAGTAAGCACAGCCCCTTCCTGGGAGGGTGATGCACCCCTAACTGCATGTGGATAGAAGCTGTGCTAGGGACCCTCCCAGACCTTGCCCTGTATATGTTTTCATCTGGCTGTTCATCTATAACTTTATCTTATCTTTTAATAAAATGGTAACATAAGTGTGTCACTGAGTTTTCTGAGCCTCTGTAGCAAATCATCAAATCCAAGCATTAAGTGGCCATGAGATCCTCTGATTTATAAGCTAGGCTGGCACATGGTGTCGGTAACCTGAGGATCTACTACTTGTGGTTGCCATCTAAAGTTGGGGAAGTCTTGTGGCATTGATCCCTTAACTTGTGTGGTCTGATGCTATCTCTAGTAGAGTAAGGGTTGAGTTAAAGTGTAGGGCAACCAGCTGGTGTTACAGAGAATTGTTTAGTGAGGGAGAGAAACCCAAGTTAGAAGTATTCTGTATGAGTAGTAAAGGAGACACACAGAAAGATTGGGCTTTGTTAGTGCATACATTAATCTGACTTGCTCTTCACTTCAAGCTGAATTTAAGAGGAGCTACTAATTTTTGAAGTTCATATGTCATATTCTTGTTGACATGTAGAATCTTGTCAGGACTGTGGACAGTTTTGCAGCCTTTGTTCCCCCACCCTGTTTTAAAAACTGGAACCTTGGCTCCTGTCTTCTGGCATGTCTTCTATCCAGGTTTCTCCAGATTGCTAGACTTTCAGTAAACAGTCTATAGTCTTGAAATAATTTTTTTATTTGGAAAGATGTCATAATATTAGTATTCTTAAAACAAACTTTATATTGCTTCTACACTCATAAACACATCTATAAATAAATAAATTCAGTCTTTCTCCTATCCAAAACCTAATCTGCCCAGCTATCTTTCTCATCTGAGTTAATAACAACTCCATTTACTCAGGCCAAAACCCCAAGGAGCCATTCTTGTGCTCCTTTCTCACATATTTTACCCAGTCAGTCTGGAAAACATGTTGACTCTACCATTAAACTACATCTAAGCATCCAATGTCTCAGCACCCCCAGAGCCACTTTTCCTTCATGTGAAGAACTAGGTACCTCTACTCTCTCCTGACCCTGACCCCAGTAGTCTAGTCTCCACACAGCAGCCAAAGGGATCTGCACAAAACCCTACAGTTGTTCACCACTTCACTTGGAATGATGCTGTGCAGAAAGAGGGGTACACCAAGACCCTCAAACTTGTATGTTCTAAAGGGGTTCTGCCATTGTCGCATGAAGACAAAGCATACTCAGTGTGAAAGAATTTTAATAGGATTAATGTGCATAGTGAGAGAGAAGAAGAAAGGATAATAATTTTACAATAAAACACCCAAAGTTACCGATCCCCTAGTGGTTAAGTGCCCAGCCAAACATGGTTGATACAAAGCGGGGCCACTGAGGCCTGGACACTTGTGACAAGTTCAAAGCACCTGACAGGGAACCATAAGAAAGGGGCAGAAGGTGCCCAGTAAGTCAGACAAAGGGAGCTAAGTCAAAGTACAAATCAATGTAATAGCTGCCATTGTCAACCTCCCAGTTGGTATTTCACCCATGATTCTTCTTATTAAACTATCGCCAGTCACTGCAGCATGAATTCGATCCCCAGCCAACCAGGGAGCAACCAACATGGCACAGCAGACCTCTTGTGCCCCCCACCTTCCCCTGAGCAGTGTATTTCAGTAGTTCTGCCTCTTCTGCTCCCCACTCTCCCTGGTGAATCCTCTCAACCCCTGTACCTCTGGCTTACACCCCAGTTCTTGTATGCATAAATAAATAAATCTTTAAAAAAGAAAGAAAAGATTAATTTTCTTCCTTTCCTCTAATCCCATCCTGCTTGAGGGGACCTACTTTGAAATTTTGTGGATATTCTTCCAAATAGTTTCTCTGTATACATATGTAAAAGGTACAGATTTTACAGTTCAAAGAGAGATATTCCTGAATTGTAACTTTATCTTCTGTAACTCAGTTTCTAGTTTAGTCTTTATTCCCTCTGATGGCAGAAAAACTAAATCTAGTTAATTTATGGTAAATGTTAGCACTTTATGATCTGCTTATTTACTAATGATAGGTTTAAGGTTAATTCTGTGAATTTAGAATTTACTGACCTGTCTTTTTACCTTCACATTAATTACCAGTTAAAAAAAAATATATGTGGGGGACCTCCCCGGTGGCGCAGCGGTTGAGCGCTAGGTTGCGAAGCTGCCCGCAGCCTCTGCAGCACCAGTTCGATCCCCGGCTGCTCCCTGGCCACTGGAGGAGGGTCCCACATGGCGCGCAGACCTCTCCTACCACCCACTGCACCCCTCAGCAGTGTACTTCGGTCCTTCTGCCTGCTCTGCTCCCCGCTCTGGCTCTGGTGAATTCTCTCACCGTCCCGCGCTTCTGACTGTACCCAGTGCTTGTACGTATGTATGTATAAATCAATCAATCAATCAATCTTTAAAAAAAAAATATGTGGGCCTCCCCTGGTGGTGCAGTGGTTGAGCACTGGGCTGCAGTGCCCGCAGCCTCTGCAGCGCTGGTTCAATCCCCGGCCACCGGCAAGGGTCTAACATGAAGCGCAGGCCTCTCCTGCCACGCCCGCTGTTCCCCTCAGCAGTGTATTTCATTGGTCTGCCTGTTCTGTTCCCCACTCTGTCTATGGTGAATCCTCTCACCCCACACTTTTGGCCTGTACCCCGGTTCTTGTATGCATAAATAAATGTTTAAAAAAAAGAACATTAAAAAAAAAAGAAAAAGTTTATTTAGAGGAAAAAAAAAACCAAAATCAAAGGCTCTAAGGCAGAATTGCCAAGGAGGGGCAAAAGACACCATTATGGGTTTGTGTCTAGGGGATATTTAAACTTTTTCTCTCTTATCTTAGAGTTTACCTCTCCTATTCAAAGTCTTATTTTTTCAAGTTTTACTGATTTTGTTTAGTCCTGGACTTTCTGTTCTCATCTCTGGAGTATGTTTTGGTTAGCACTTCTTAGAATTTACTGTCCTTATCTCAGAAGCATCTTTAATTCTCCCAAAGTCCTTGCCTGCACTGTCCCTAAAGCTGCCTAATTAACCCTAACTTGCCCTGGGACTCACTAGGTATCTACCTGAAGCATACAAAACAAATTCAAAAGGAAACCCGTACTCCCATGTTCATTATGGCATTGTTTACAATAGCCAACAAAATCTATTCTGCATCTTGGTGTTTGTCTCTGTGTGTGCGTGTGTGTGTGCATTTATATCCCTGTGTGTGTGTGTATACATATATGTGTGTATATATATGTGTGTGTGTGTATATCTATATATATATAATATATAAAAAGTTAAACTTGCCATTCACAGTAACATGGATGGAACTGGAGGGGATTATCCTAAGTGAAATTAGAAGACGAAAGGCAACAGAGACAAATACTGGATGGTCTATATATGTATGTAGAGGAGAGGAGAGAGAGGAGAGAGGGGTTGGAGAGAGAGAGCCCAGTAAAGAGTTAAGAGTTGGGAGGGCTGGGAGGCCTGCCAGCCTCCTGACCCCCTAGCACCCCTGCCTGACGTGTACCTGGTTGCTGCACTACATGTAAAAGCTCAATAAACACCTGAAAAAGCCACCGAGGGTTCCAGGACTCTCCTTTACCAGTCTGGTCTGCTCGGAGCATAGAGAACCAGCTCTGCCCTTCCTGCCCCTACAGTCACCTCCCTGGCCGGGATCAAACTGGCGCTGCAGTAGAGCTAATACCTTCACAGAGCTGCATTTCAACCCTTTGTACCACCAGGGAAGCCCCTGCTAGCACATTTTCAATGAACTTGTAGTAGTCCATTATACAAATGCAACATAATTATCCTGTTTTGGATAGTTACTAACTTTTTACTTTGGAAGAATTGCCTGTAGCTAAATCCTGAAATAAAATCCTGCACCTGAATGTCATTGTGGAAGGTTTTTAAGGCATGTTGTCAAAAGATAGGTACATTTTAACTACTTTGACACCAGTAATGGCGAAGGTCCTCTCACTATGCTCTGCCAGACCTGTTTTATCTTTTTTTGTCATCTTTGCTAATCTGATAGACCAATGGTTTTGCATTATTGTTTTATTTCATTATTGCTAATAAATCAAATATGTTTTATGCATTATTTTTGTG